TCGCTTTTAAACTGGGACTTAAAATTGTGCGTGAAATAACTTGCCACCAGACTCAATTAAATATTACCCACCTTAATATCCTTTGGCAGTCAGGCTTCGTTCCCACAAGACAAGTGGCATACAACACCAGGCACATTCTTAATATCATAGAATATACCCAATCCCAACACCAAGCATGCCTTTTACTGGCACTAGATACTGAAAATGCTGTTGACTGCCTAGATTGGCAATACATCCAAGCAATACTGTTTAAATTTGGATTCCCCCCTCTTTCTTGAAAGCTGTCATGACTCTCAACAGTTAGTATCTTAAACACAGGATTCTTGTCTGATAGCGTCCATATCTCTGATGACTTGCAGCACGGATGCCCGCTTTCCCCATTAATTTCTAAACTAGCACTTGAACCATTACTATATAAGATCAAGTCAAATCCAGACATTCAAGGGACGAGAATAGTGCAGAACGCAAGATTGCCTTGTTCGTAGATGCCTCATGAACCCACATGTCTTACTGCCTTCCATACTACTGGAGTTGTCTGAATACCATAAGTATAACTGCTGAAAGACCACTACCACTTTGACAGGAGAACAGATTTTTTTTACTTATCTGGGGGTAAAACTAGCTACACCCAAACAATCGGTGATCCGATTCAACTTTGTCAGAATATTGCAGAAGACCACAACTACACTAACCTCTTGGGGGGATTATGAACTCTTATGGATGGGTAAAATCCATTATGTCTAAATATTTATCTTACCTACCATTCTGTACTTTTTTCGCACACTATACATTTCAATCTCAGACAAGATGCTTAAGGAATCCCAATAAGTGATCTTAGCATATATAAGGAGGAAGCGCCCACCTAAGTTTCTAAATCAACCAGCTGGTTACCTGAGAATAAGAGGGGAGTGGGGATTACCAACTTTAGGATGTATTATTCTTTTTTGGCTATAGCCCCATTGATCCCAGTGGGGATGAAGAACTCCAAACTTCTATGACTGGAAACTGAAAATGTTTGCTTGCGGCCATTTACCTTAACGCAGTTTATGTGGTCCCCAAGGAAAGTCACAAAAGCTGACATGGCCCATGCGCTGTAGACATCTGCTCACTCTCTGGAAGTCTGAAAGCCCTTCAACCTCTCCAATCCACCACAAACCTGCAATGTTCCCTACTGTCTACAGTGCAGCTCCTTATCCTAGACATTAACCTCATAAAGTGGAACTCCTCTGCTATATTTAAAGTGCAGCAACTTTATAATGACAATGACAATAAATCCTTCCCCAAATTGGTATAGACAAGCAAACTACCTGCATCCAAGGTTTTTACCTAGCTTTGAATCAAGCACATTTTGAGAGTACATGGTATCATGGAATAACCTGGCACAAAATACATTAGCTTAAAGAAAATATGCATGGCAGCAAAACAGCCTGTGTATATACAGTACTGTGTAACATTTTAGGCAGGGCACATGTGAGAATATGCTGTGATCTACAAATGTTTATAAAAATACTAAATGTTTGTAGTAGATATATATATAAATATATACTATAGACTATAATAATTTGATTAAAAAGATAATTAAATAGAAACATGGCTAATTTAAAACGTTACTCTAACAAAGCTAAATATTTAGGAACTGTAAGAAATAATTGTTCAAGACGTCCAATCACTCCTAATATAATTTCATGCAGACAAGTTATTATTAATCTCTAAACAGTGGCCCCCATTCTTTGGTATATGAAGTACTACAGTAAAATTCCCATCATTCCAAAATATAAATAGCTCTATTTATGGCCACTAAGACATGTTGTCTAGCATAATATCAAACAGCAAGTGCCACATGATCTTTTAATGTAGTTTTCTTTTTTTCTAAATCAGCAGTGAATTAAATTATTGTTGTGTACAATGCAAACTTCATTATTTGTTGGAAAAACTATGATTTCTCATGAAAATGAAAATAAAAGTCTGTAAAATGTATATTTATGTTGCAAAACACAGTGTGATTTGTGGGTATTAGCACAGCGATAGAGAGAGATGGAACAATAGACTGAATATAGAGGGGAAGACAGAGAGACCAATGAAAGAGAGAAAGCAAGGGAGTTGTTTACTTTTTTAACCTGAAACTTAATTTGAATTTGCTTTGGATACTTTAGTGAATAACCATCAGTGTATTTAAGCCATTCTTCTATTGTGAAAAGATGTATCCTTAGCTGCTATAACAAAATATGGAATCTAGTGATGTTCTTGAAGGTTACCCACTGACAAACATAAATTATATATTTCCATCAGAATGAAGAATATGTATTAGAAATTGAGCAGGGAGGCGAAACAAAGCGTAGTACTGTCAGGAGTGGTGGGCTAGTGCCTAAGACAGATAAACAGAATGTCTGCAAGCAGATCGGGAGTATATGTGAAACAGGCCAAGGTCTAGGATAACAAGCATACACAGAATGGCAGTCAAGCCAAAGTCAGGGTTACAAAAAGCAAGAATGATCAAACAAGCAGAGGTCAATAAACTGAGAATCCTATACACAGTAGAACTCTGCTCTCAGGTAACAAAAATTATGCCAGTCCAGGAAACGAGGATAACCTGGAAGTACAGACCTTATACTGGGTTGTGGTTGGTTACAGTGACGTGAATTGTGCGCAAAGAAGCATGCGTCACCAAAAAATTCCACATTGACTGACATAATAGAGACAAACGAAAAGCAAGCATTCCATGTCATAAATGATGTCCGTACAGCACACCACAATGTGTGGATGATGTCAAAGTAATGCCAGACCGCAGTCGTAAGGGATAGGTATCGTTGTAAGTATCTGATAAAGTGCATTTCTCAACATATCAACAACCGAGAGCTTACTTAAAAAAAAAAATTAAACTTTTCATTTTTTAAAATTTTTATTACATTTAATAAAACTTCATTATTGTTTTTTAATTTCTTTATTTTTGTAGTGCATAAAGATACAAAACAGGCCCGCAATGCCCAACAGCATAAACAAGCGTCATGGTGTACATAAGATAACAGCTGAGCGGCATTTGATTGTGATGCACCATTTTTAAAGTAAGAGAGTAGGGAAAGCATGCTGTATCCTCTGATTAAACATGTGGCGTGAGATTATGTTTAGTAATTTAGCTAGACATGAGGATTAGTTTACAAAAGTTAATAGAGTATGTCAACCTCGTTTTTATAACCAAGTTAGAGATCATAACTACTCTTAATCTAGACATGCAGGGCCGTCTTTAACGCGGGGCAAACGGGGCAGCTGCCCCGGGCCCAGTTTCTCTTGGGGGGCCCAAGGCACCTGCCCCGTGGGCCCCGCTGCCCTCATCAATTAATTTTTTTCCCCGTCCCACCGGGTGGCCCATGCACTTAGGGCAGTGGCGTACATACCAGGGTCGCGGCTGCGACCCTGGTATGCACCCACAGGGCCAGCGTCTTCCCCTGGGGGGCCCAGGAGGCGGCCACCCCAGGGCCCCCCGAGGCTGGCCCTGCTGATCCCGGCGGGCGGGTGGCCAGTCGGGCAGGAAGGCGGGCGCGCGAGGGAGCACTCACTGCTTCCTCTTCAGCTCCCTCGCGCACCGCACTGATACCGGAGCCGGAAGATGACGTCATCTTCCGGTGCCGGCATCCCTACGCGGCGCGCGAGGGAGCTGAAGAGGAAGCAGTGAGTGCTCCCTCGCGCGCCCGCCTTCCTGCCCGACTGGCCACCCGCACACCGGGGTCAGCAGCACCACCACTGGACCCCAGGGAATCCCCCCAGCACTCCAAAAGGTAAGGAGGCTGGGGGGATTACATTTAAAAAAAAAAATGTGTGTTTATGTGTTTGTGTGTTAGTGTATGTGTGTGTTAGTGTATGTGTGTTAGTGTGTGTTTGTGTGTTAGTGTGTGTTTGTGTGTGTTAGTGTATGTGTGTTAGTGTGTGTTAGTGTATGTGTGTTAGTGTGCAGGGGCGGACTGACCACTCGGGCACTTCGGTCATGGACCGAGGGCCCGAGGCAGTCAGGGGCCCGGCCGCACAGCCATGCTCCAGCTGGAGAGATCAGAGATCTCTCCAACTGGAACAGCAAAATAAAAAAAAATAAAACTATTTAATTGATAGGTTGTGGGGCCCCTGATGCAGCTTGGGGCCCCACAACCTACCGCTCTGCTAGTCACACCCCCCCATGAGACCTGGCAGCTTCACCTCCTCCCTGCCAGGTCTCCTGCTTCCTCTCCCATGCGGCTCTGTGTGATGGGAGAGGCGGGGACAGGAAGTGACATCACTTCCTGTACTCTCCTCTCACACAGAGCCCAGCGAGGGGAAGGAGCAGCAGCCCGGGAGAGGAAGCAGACAGACAGGTAGGCTCTAATCACCCCCCACTGTCACTAATCAACCCCCACTGTCACCAGTCACCCTCACAGTCACTAGTCACCCCTCAGTCACTAGTCACTCTATTGCCGTTTCAGTCACTCTCAGAGTCACTAGTCACCCCTCACAGCCATAGTCAGCTCCCCCCACTGCCGCCCCCCCTCACAGTCACGAAGTCACCCCCATTGTCACTACAGTCACTCCCTCAGAGCTAGCTCCCTCATGTGTCACTAGTCACCCCCCATTGTCAATGGTAGTCACCCTCACAGTCACTAGTCACTCCCCCTATTGCTGTCACTCAGTCACCCTCACAGTCAATACTACAGTCAGCCCCCTCATTGTCAATACTACAGTCACCCTCACAGTCACTAGTCACCCCTCACAGTCACTTCAGTCACCTCACTGTCACAGCTCCCCTCACTGCCACAGCCAGTCACCCTCACAGTCACTAGCTCACCTCCCCTCACTGCCTACTAGTCACCCCTCTCTGTCACCAGTCACCCCCCTCACTTCACTAGTCACCCCCCCACTGTGTCACTAGTCACCCCTTCCCTCCCTCACTTTGTCGCTAGTCACCCATTCCCTCCCTCACTTTGTCACTAGTCACCCCCTCCCTCACTCTGTCACTAGTCACCCCCTCCCTCAGTCTGTCACTGGTCATCCCCTCCCTCTGTCACTGGTCATCCCCTCCCTCACTCTGTCACTAGTCACCCACTCACTCTAGTGACAGAGTGAGGGAGAGGGTGACTAGTGACAGAGGGAGGGGGTGAATAGTGACAGAGGGAGGGAGGGAGTGACTAGTGACAGAGGGAGGGAAGGGGTGACTGGTGACAGAGTGAGGGATGGGATGACTAGTGACA